TTTTGTTGTTGTTTGTTTTGTTTTGTTTGTTTGTTTGTTTGTTTGTTTTGTTTTGTTTTATTTTTTGTCCTACGTACAGAGACTACATAGTTTTCTCTGCTGTGGAATTAGAATACTACATTATTCTGCATGGTCTTTGTCAATTTGGCCTGCTACCAAATGCAGATGCCAAAAATGAGACTGAAAATGACGTAACACTTCAATTTGGATTATGTTTAATGTCAAATGTATCCATGATATTTACTCTCTCTAACACAATGACAACACTCGAACGGTGCAAATTGGTAAATTGATACAAATCTAAACTCAACCTGTTTACTAGCGACAAGTGAAAAGTGCATAAGTAGTAGTGCATTAATAGATATCCTTGACAGTTTCTTAAATGAAAAATTAGCTTAAAACAGAAGCCCATTACGTGGTTATACAAGCTTAATGATCAACTCGCATCTCTCTGAATTCTGCTTATGTGCAAATGAAACCAAACGTGCAAAAAATATTGTCAGCTTATTTCCTTTGTCAGAACATAACCTTCTTATTTATTCTTATTAGCTACAAAATGTGTGTAACAATTGTGCCGGTGCAGCTGGCGTCCTTGTCACTGGGTTGTCATCCAAAAACAGTGCCTTATTTATATATGAATATTTAGCTTTAAATAGATATCTATATCTATATATATATATATACACAGACATAAATAAACAACACCTTTTATATCAGAGTTATTTTGATGAAATAGCCGATGTGTGATATTTAACTTTATTGCAAATATCGACCGATACCATGCAGATGATATTGTGCATCCCTACAAGAATGGTTTGATTGAACTTACCTTGAGTCAGCTGTGCTGTCCTTCATTTCCACTTCAGGCAGTACCTCCCTGACAAGTTTACATTAGTTGAATTACATTACATTTACTTACACTAGTTGAAACTATGTAATGTGAAACTGTTGTGTTATAGAGACAGGACAGACAAAATGATCCTTGAATAGAACGTACGTATATAACGTACAACATAACAATGTCATTATAGAGTTTGAACTCAAACATCACTTTGATTTATGGCTTGAAATTCCTCAAACTTTAGATTAAACTATTGCTGCTCAACTTGTTTACTGTTGAAAGGTTTGCAGTCGTTCCGTTGTTGACATTTCTTCCCAGGAAATTTTGTGACCTAAACCTGACAGGACTGCAAGAGAAACATAAAGTTAAAATAAAAAAAATAAAATTCCAAGATATAGTTGGGTTATTTTTAAGTTTTACTTGTCTCCACATTTATATTCAAAAAGTTTTTTTGTTTTTTTTTCCTCCTTTCCTTTCCTACTTATTTCTCTCAACATGAACTGTAAGTATTTGAACAAAGAAGGCTCTTTGACTTTAGAACATCCAATATTTGTGTATTACGTTATTTGTCTTATGCAGGTTACTGCAGTAGCTGTGTTTACATGCACAAAATTCTTTAACCGGATTGAAATGTTTTCAGATTAAATAATTCAAATGTATCGTTTACATGTGCACGATCCGTTCACGACGAGCGTTTACATGCAGCTGGCTTTGATTCTGAACAGAAGTACTGACCATTTTTACTTTCCCGACACGCTAATATTATTAGCATTAGCCAGGCGGAAATGACATAGGTTGCACGTGCGCAGTCAGGTCAGTTTTTCACGATCGGAAAAAAAAAGACCAGATTAAGTGTTTACATGCACACCGTTGGGGTTATGGATTGGCGTAAACCTCCCGTTTCGTTCTAATTACAAATTATTTCGGATTGAGCTGAATAAACAAAAAATAATCTGAATGGAGCATTTACATGACACGTTTTTATTCCAAATGGCAGCTTAATCCGATTACTTATGTCCATGTTAACATAGCTAGTGTCAACAGTGCAATGAAATGTTCAGGACGAGAAGAACTGATTTCGACTTGCTAAAACAAGAACAACAAACAAATGCAATGCTAAAGCATGCAATAAGGGGTCCAAAATAAAGTACCAAAAAGTGAAAAAGGATGATGAGTTGCAACAACATTTAATTTCCCATTGGGATTAATAAAGTATTTTTGAATTGAATTGAAAAAAAAAAAAAAATACATGGTCCAAAAAATAAGTAAACATCATGGTAGTAAACAACAGTGCAAGTAGGATAAATTTGCATGAATAAGTATTTCACAGGTAGTAAATATTAAATTAATTAGTAAGCATAAATGCAGATGATATATATTGCACATAGCTAACATAAACTACACAGGATGTGTAACAGGTTATTGCACAGGTAGTGAGTAACATTGAGATTGAGTTATGATAGTAAGGTAGTGACAGTACATGATATAGGCATATGTGACACACATGATATATGACATATTATTTCTAATCTGAACTTCAATAACCAGTTTCCCCTTATCCATCATTTATATCATTAACCCCTCATGGGTTGCTGAAAAAGAGTTTTGTCAGCAGCTTCCACATTTTAAATGGATATTTGACTTGGTCTGGAGCCAGCTGTATGTAAACACAGTATAGATTCTAGCTAGTGAGTGGAAACTTGTTACAGTCTATCAGATAGCTGGATTTTCCCTTGGCATGAGAACTTGTGTCAGAACCTTTATGTATGTTCAGTCAGCATAAACACAGAATAAACAGAAGTCTTTCAAAACGGACTGACTGGATCTTGTAGAACAGTCAAAGTTGACCATTTTCTCTCAGTAGATTAGTCTCATTATTTATATCATAACCAGAAAGCTCTCATAAAATTGCTGACTATACACTGTCAGATTCAGCTCAAAGAAATGAGCAGGAAACAACATCAAATGATATAGTTCAGAGAAATCTTCAAATTTTAAAGCAACCAAATGCAAAAGGTAAACTGATGTGGAGACCTTCAGCTGTGTTTGCTGTGGCCACCTGATACAAGTCATACCAGTTTAACTGTATGTTTTCTTACTTTTTTTTAAGAGATGTGGAAAAATTCTTGTATTAACGTGAATGTCTGTTTCAGGTTGAAGATGTATGTACATTATCCATTCAATGACGTGAAAGTTTTCATGAAAGCAGAGGGGAGGAAAGCTAACTCTGTGAGGTGAGCCTTACTGTCCAATTAATGCTCGTCTTTCTTTGACATACTTTTTGTATGTTTTGCTGTAATAAATAATTTTGACGTCACACCAGAGATCCATATTAATCAATCATATTGTAACACTTTGTTGTCAACCATCAAACGTTATCAAAAGGCACTTATGTTATTTCCAAACGGATGTTAGAATATTGTCACTGGTCAGGGATCTTTTTTGTGTGACTGTTTATTTGACTAATCTAGAAAACCGTGAATGATTTGATTCAGTGTGTATGAAAGCACCAAAGATAGTTTATGAATATGGCATCACTTTTTTGTAAATGCATACAAATCTATGCCAATATTTGGCAAAGTAACAGTAAGGTTTTCTTTTCTTTGCCTTTTTTGGCTTGGTTCTGGTATGCCAGCACTTTATCATCATCATCCAGCCAGCGCTCCTGCATTTTCTCTAACCAACCGTTTTTCATAATTTTTGTTTTTACTCCTCTCATTCTTCCTTGCTTTTTTTTTTTTTTTTTAAGTCAAAGGTTGGTGATAATAGCTCCTATTGCCTTACCTATTTTGGTTTCTTGAGCCGTCTTCCATTTCCATTTAAGTCAGAGGGTGACTGATGACTGATGATCATGAAATGCTCATAATCATTACCCCCGGCTATGAAACGTCATGAACCCTCCCATCCCATCATTCTTCTTCGTAAAACACACAAACACATGCATCTGTTGTTTAGCCCAGTGGGCTGGGCTGCACTCTTTCTTAAGCTGATAAATTATGGTTAAAAGAATGACTCAAAGATGAGTGTAGGTTTGTACCAAAGCTTAGAATGAGCTTCCAGGTGACAACTTTTAACTAGATAAACATCCTAAAATAAACTTTAACTCTATACTTTTACAAACTTTTGCCTCATTACAAGTTAGAGTTAAATTGTGTGTAATTACAGGTCTATTTAGTTTAATCTATAGTTATGTCATGTATGTTTTTAAACTGTCGGTTGTTTGTTTCTTAGAAAGATTTTGTTTACTACCAAATTAAAAAGGTGCTATTAGAGTTTGGAGTACCGTATTTTCCACCGTACACGTCGCACTGCCTTATAAGTCCAAATATGTCTAATAAAGTGGAAAAAAAACATAAATATGTCGCTTTGCCGTACAAGTTGTATCTATTATGTGTCACTGCTGACGCGTCGCATTTGTTACTCGTCACCGCTGACAGCCCAGAAATGTGGGCCGGTGTTGTGCCAAAAATCGATTGGCTGCCAAATGGCGACCGCGGGAGCATGCACGGAAGGACTTTAACAAGAATGTAACAATATTAACACTTAAAAACAATTATTTGTTTGCTTGAAATTATAGTAAAGGTGTGTCTCAGTTAAATTTTTCCTTAATAAATGCACTTTGACGGTCAAATCAGCTGCATTTCAAAACCCGATTCGCGGGAGAGCGCAGAGGGACGACTCGCTGTGCATTTCTTTGAAATTTAACAAGATAAACACCTAAAACAATATTTTTTTGCTTGACTTTATAGTGAAGGTGTGTCTCAGTTGAACTTTTCCTTAATAAATGCACTTTAATAGTCAAATCAGCTGCATTTCAAAATTATCTGGCGCCTCGGTGCTCCAGGAGTGCGCAGAAGGACGGAATCAGGAAGGAGGAACGCTGCACATTTCTTCGAATTTAATAAGATAACCACCTAAAACAATTATTTATTTGCTTAACATTACAATAAAGGTGTGTTTCAGTTGAACTTTTACTTAATAAATGCACTTCAATGGTCAAATTAGCTGCATTTCGCCGGGGCGGCACATCGAAATGAAGCTGATTTGATGGTTGCTCCAGGCATTATCCTGGAGCTGGTATAAGGTGTCAGTCTATGGTAAACCGATTGTGTCATTAATATTCACTTTTACCTATTAAATGACACAATGGCACGCCATACTACTTGAGTGCCATCTAGTGGCTGAAAATGGTAGTGTTCAATATTTTCAATGTCAGAATGAATGAAAACGGTCATATCGCAGCCAAAAATTGGTTTATAAATATGGTTACAAATAAGTTGTGTCGGTGTATAAGTCGTAGGGCATGCACATTATGCAAAAAACTGTGACTTATAGGCCAAAAAATAAGGTATTTACAAGTGTATTAGAGACATTTTAGAAAATGCAAAAAAAAATAAAAATGACCCCTTGCTGATGTTATTCTTTGACTTTGACTGTGTGAACAAAACAAGGGGGAAAAAGTCCAGAAAAACTTGTCTTTCACCATGGGTTTGTTTGTTACCTGCATTTTTCTTCTAGCTGCCCCTTTATTTAGGTGGGGTTGGGGATATGACAAATAAATGCTCATGTCAAGTTAAAATGCAGACAAGCATGGGCATTTTCCACTGCTTCTTGTTGAGATTTGTTTGTAATGATGATTCATGGTCAATATTTAATATTCTAGAGAAAGTATTTTTCATGGAGAGATTTTATAAGCCATTCTTAACGACATTTATTCCCAGTTTTGTCAGCAGTGTAGAACAGCAAGTACATCAGGAATGTTGTGCGTGGGCCTTGTCAAGTTTCTAGTAATGAGTAATTGAGTGATATAAATCTATCTCACAGTATTCCCCTTGGGCACTCTATAAAAAGTGTGGGTATTTGTTTATAGGTTATTGCATAACCAACAGTTAACTTATTCAATATTACCAATATGGGCAAAATAGGATGAGGTCCAGGGAAATTACTTCTCATTAACTCAGTACAGTTACATAAGAAGGCTGTGGCATGATTGCAATTATGATTTAAAGATATGGGGCCTCTATGCTAAGGGCTAATCCTATTTTAGTGTTCCTGAACAAGATCAAAGCAGTTCAACCCCACATAGGCCTTTACTTTTCAAACAATGCTGTCTTAGAGGAAAACCTTTACTTTTGACTTGTATTAATACTATAATTATGAAGTAATGGATTGTGGTGGTAACTGTTTCTAAGAGGTTATTGACTAATAAAAGGTAAGGTTGTTGTTGAGCGCCTTCTGGGAATATCAGACCACTCCAATAAAGGATGTCTTGTTCTTAACTAAACATAGCTGTGTAAGCAGCATCCTCTTACTTACTGGAAAAAAAACTGCGCTTCAAAAGTAGCATTCACACGTTTCTGGATGTTTCTTTGTGTTATTTTTCATGTTTGTTTTTTATTCCACTCCTGCGATCCAGAGGATGCCTTCTCCTATTTTCCCTTACTTCTACCTTTCCTCTCAGTCGGCCAATATCCACACAACATGTCAGACTTAGAGATGCTGTTTTTATATTTCAGGATAAAAAGGAAACACCTGTGTTGCATGCTTTTTAAAATTTGTATTTTTTTTTGTCTTTTTAACCAACGATGTTGCCCTGTGAGACAAGCATGTTTATGTCCTTGCAAGCCGAGCTTTCTATTACATATTTGTGGCAAACCTTTTCCGGAGTTTGTCAGTCCTCCCTCTCTCTCATCTTTCCCTAAAGCTCAGGTTTGTTTCTGCTCAGATGGTCTCTTATTGACACTCTTCAAAATAATCGCTGGTATTGTCGTTGAAGGCATTTACAGAAACAGGAGTCATTTATCGCGGGGCTTGCGTTCTGGACACCCCCCCTCCCCCGGCAACAAGTGAAAATCTACAAAGTGGAAATTATATAGATTTCTGAGGAAACAACTAAGTTCAGTCAACTTGTATGTTTAAATCAACTAAACTAATGCTAAAGTTTATTTAGCAAGAGTTTATTACTCAAGATAATTTTATAATGTTTATTCACTCAACTTAATGGGTTTTTTACTCACCAGCTCTGCAGAACACAGCAGTTAGGTTCCAGTTTGGCAGACCTACCCAGCCTTGGTCCGGTTCTGGTCCAATTCTGATCGGCTCTCTGCATCCACTGAACGCCAAAGTCACTATAAATACTGAAAGCACCGAACTTTTTCAGATCGGATCAAAACTTTCTCTCCATTTCAGCAGAAAGCAACTTTGCCTTCTGGGTAGTGCACTGTTGCCTTCTGGGTAATGTAGTCCTTTAGACTAGAGATTCATTCAACCTTTATTTATACAGATTAATCCCATTGAGCCTCGGGGACTCATTTACAAGAGAGACCTGATTTTAACAAAAGAGTGATGACAACAGTGCAGTGTTTCCCCTAGATAACTTGTCATGGCGGGGCGCTAATCTCGTTTGTGATTTTTGTCGGGGGGTGGGGGTGGGGGGGGACAGAGACACGGGGGGGAGACAGACACATCTGAGTGATGCGCTGTTTCTACCAACAATTTTCGAGTGGCGGGGGTGCGTTCAGCATGAGGGTTCAGCATGAGGGAAGAGGCTGCCTTTTGCTTTTTAGCTAGCATACCTGCCTTGCGAGACGCTAGTTTAGCGTTACGTCAGTGCCGACAGGTGGTTTGGGGTCGGGGTGGGGAGGGTGGGGGGGTTCAGTAGACGGGGTGCTCGGTTCTGTTGACGGGGCGGGGCACCACTGGGGAAACACTGCAGTGGAATGATAGACAGTCATAAAGGATGGATACAAATTGAGAATTTTTTTTTTTTAACAAGTGAAAACAAAATAGTAATTAAAAGAAAATGTAACAAAAAAAACAGCTAGGCTGTATTGAGGTGTAGAAAACTTAAAACAAGAACAAGTCTGCATTGGTATTCAGATACAGTGTAGGCTTATTGAGAGAAAACTACAAAATGGCGGCACATTTTTTTTTAAATTAGTTTTTATTTATTTAATTATTTTGTTGTGTACAATCTTACAGTACAGTAGTCCCTCATTTATCGCGGGGGATCTATACTCTGAAGCCTCGCGATAAGTGGAAAACCACGAAGTAGGAATAGTAGTACAAGTAGTAAGTAGTATTTGATTTTAGTATGTATATTATATAAGGGGTGCACCGATAAATCGGCTGGCCGATTTCCTCAATTTTTTGGCAATCGGAAATCGGCCGATATTTGCATGAGAAACCGATTTTTACATATTTTTTTGTTTTGTTTTAACAACAATTGTCTGAAATTCATTTATATTTCAGAGCACTACCTCATGGCCAGTTAAAGTTTGTATTGTTTCTAGTAGGGCTGCAACTAACGATTATTTCAATAATTGATTCATCGCCTGATTATTTTTCGATTATTCTATAAATCTGCAAAAACAAATTTACGTTTTAATTTCAACCCCTTTATTTCAAAATTGAACATTTGACTGAAATAGCAATTCACAGAAAAAAACAGGTTGCTATTTGACTATTCTGTTAGTAAAATATTGAATAATAAAAAATTAAAGTTAGTCAAATAGCTTAAAAAAATAAATGTACACAAAATTATATACAAATGTATCTTTATACCTGCACAATATGTAGCTACTTTGTAAAATGTGTCCTTGAGGGAAGGGTGTAACTGGATTAAAAGTTTGGATTATTGTAACCTGGATTAAAAGTGTGGATCATTGTAGTGAAGCCTTCGTCTTCAACCATCGACAGAGGCCTCATGTCAGTGATGATCATTTAAGGATGTTTCAGTGAAGACAGCTGCTGCTGTGGTGTCCACGATGTCTGTCCATCATGAAGGATGTTGTTGTTTGTTGTTGTTTTCTGGAAAGAGAGAATAAATATGTGTTATAGCATAATTTACAGCAACTCAAGAAATGCCTTGTTTCACTTACAGTGTTGGGTTAAGGCAAATAAGTAGCCCAAAGAGCAATTAAACACACACACACATACAATACTTAATTACATACATTTGAGTAGATGTAATAAATTACTTTCTGTTTAAATGCAATTCCTGCCATACCTGCAGTGTCTTCAGACTTTGCCAGCAAATTAAAAGTTGAAGCTTAATCATTCAATTATTATCTTTGTGTTAGATTTATTTATAAATCACATTTAAACACTGCTTGTACCAATTAAATTAAATAAAAAGTAACACACGTTCTCTATCACTGTCATTAATCAGAAAACAAACAAGCAGCAGCTTCAGCTACAGAGAGACTGACGTTACGTTTTCTCACTTGGAAACAGAACAATGTGTTAAATTGTAGAGACTCACCTGCAACACATGACGAGTTGTATCAGCTGCTGCTCCTTCCTCCTCCTCGTGACTCCGACATGTATACGTTTATCTCTGTGGTTGTCCTGTGTCGTGTTAATTTTCAAAGCTGCATGTTGCGCTGTTTTTATCTGTGAAGAGCTCCCACACTTTGTAGGACTCGGGTCAAACAGTTTTTGCTGCGTCGGTCATTTGTAAAACTTATTTAATTTCCTTTGAAAACACGAAAACACAGACTCTGCTCTGCTTCCGCCTCCCCCCCTCACTCTGTTCAACTCGCGCTGCAGTTTTTTTTTTTTACTTTATTCATTCAGCCATCATTGACAATGAACTGCCCGTGAACAAAACGGATCTGCAGCGCCGTGAAAGACGCTTAATCGCGCGACACAATGAAACAATAATGAAATTTGTTGCCAACACTTTTAATCATCAATTTTATCGATTCGTTGTTGCAGCCCTAGTTTCTAGGATAATGTTCAAGGGTATGTTTTTCAATAAAACAAGATTGGAAAATTGAAGGTGCATTGTGACCTTATAACATCTGACAGTGTTGCTTATAAAACCAAATCGGTATCGGCAGGTCAGACTTTTTAGAAATCGATGATCGGTGATCAGCCAGAAAACTGTAATCGGTGCACCCCTAATAAATATATATATATATATATATATATATATATATATATATATATATACACATTTTAAACCCTTCCCACACTCTTGCAATATTCTAAACAATGTTTCTAAACTCTAAACGCTCTAAAAGAATAAAAGAATGATATGATTTCAGCTCTTTGCCTCCGCTGCTCTCTGCCAGTGCTCTTGGCCACGCCCACTTCTCTGCTGCAGAGTGGAGATATGACACGCTGCAGGAGGGCACTTCTCCTGGAGCTGCCGGCTGCACACAGGTGCAGCAGTTGCTAAATAATTTAAAATAATTTATGTTAAATAAAAATTCCATGCTGATCGTGTGGCTCATCCATCAATCAGCCAATTGTGTCGTGTCCAATCTTACTTTGAAAAACCACGATTGAGCAAGTCCACGTCAAACAAACCATGAAGTAGCGAGGGACTACTATAATATTGTTTTGGTTCGGTTTAAAAAAAACGAAAGAAAGCATCATAGACTTAATTTATAGCAGCTGTACTATTACAGCATTGTAATAAAGCTTAGTAAGTTGGTGAGAAGGTCTAAGGTTATAATTGATTTATTTTACTTTATTTTGATTTTTTGCTATGTAATTGAACTTCAATTAGGTAAACTTTTCTAAAGCAGGCTTAAATAATCACTTTTGTTAATAAAGCTAAAAGCTTTAAGGAGTTATGACTTGAGGAGGCATAACTTTTGAGCTTCAGTGGTGTTTGATTTGGACTTTAATAACATTGTCAGCTAGTAGAGCCCGAAGCCAAGCCAGCAGTATTGTTTTCAAAAGATATTGCTTGATCTGTTATGAATAAATAAAAAGGAAGTTGGCTTTTGTTTAGTTGAAAGTTGTTTTATAATCTGTTCTCTAATTATTACTGATCATTTTCTCATTTGTGTTACATTTACCCAGAGTAGTAGTTTGGTACCAACAGCAATGTTTCTTCCTAGGTTAGTCCACATGATGTATAACAAAATACAGCAATTATTTTGTACAGTATCATAATGTCTGCTTTGTTTCTCCTGATTCTTTGCTGTAATCTATTGTTAAGTCTCGGCAGAGCGGAAAGGAAAACAATAGAGACCCCCCTGAAGAGAACATTAGCTCAGCCAGCTGTTCATTCACCAGAACATTATATAGACACCAGATGTGTGCATGTTCTCGACTGAGCCGCCCAGCCGGGGTTTTGGAAGTAGACAGGTTTAACAGTCTCATCATCTCCACAGGGAGCCGTGATCTGCTTTCTTTAATTTATGTTTACTAACAACTATAGCTTCTGTATTGAAAAAAATGTAATTTGCATTCACTAATTTAAACTCATTACAAGTTTGACATAAAATCTAACATATTTGACAGTTTTGACAGTGTATGCACATCGTAAATAAAAGCATTTATTGTAAAGAGTTTGCTTTTAACTATTTACTCCTCACACACGAGGTTTATGAAAAGGTTGCTGCTCTTAATCTTTACTTTATATGTGTGCCTTTTTCTATCTATCCTGAGCAAATGTGTGCAAAATAATGTTCTCCGCTCTGCAATCGCAGTGTCTATCCTTCCGGTGTGGTTTGTTAGAAATGCATCTTTTGCAGAATTACATTTTCCAGGCATCTAACAAGGTTAAGTCAGGTCCTCTTAACAGTTTCTTCTTGTTGAAACGTTTCGTTTTTTATAGGCCTGTCACGATGACATTGATGACATTTGCTGGGCGATTGTCTCAGAAATTATTGCCATAAATGATATTATCTGAAATTTTATAATAATTACTAATTATTGTTAAATTTAAGAAGAAATGTTGGTTAAATTTTTTTGTGTAGTATATTTTTTCGACCACCGGATGGCAGTATAAGACTGTTTGGACTGAAGGATGGATAGTGAGAGAGCGAGCAGCATGTCTCTTTAAGAAAAATGGGAGGGAGGCCTCTTGACGTGACATGGGCTTTCTTTGTACATTCTGTACATTTTCAGATCTGACGTTTACAGCTGCTTGTTTTGTTGAATACTTTTTTATTTTTGTCTGTCTATGTTAAACCATTGAGAGAAGGAAGGCTGGGAGTAATGCCCTGTAACCAAAATGCATGAATGATTTATTTATTTTTTTTGTATTTTAGAGAGAACTCCTGAGCTTTTGCTTTTAATTCATTTTAATTCAAAGGCATCACGTCTCCAAAATATCCATTCAACTCTTCAGCCTTAAAACATATGACCATTTTTAATACATGACAGGATTACTTTAAGAAAGACGAGACTGACATAATTTCGTACAGATGGTTAACCAAGGGTGGAAAGAGCAGCTTCATGTGCATCTGCAATTTTGGTTAATTGGTAAAAGTCACCAACTAATTTTCTTTGGTCAGTGAGAATGCAAATTTTTGTTAACTCTTACATTATAATAAAAAAGCCATATATGAATAAAAAGCATTTATTTTCTCCTTGCTTAATCTAAAAATAATAATAATAATTTTGAAACATGACAATCACTCCTTTTTGTCTTTAATGTGTTCATTTGGGTAAAAATAGGTACCATGATCTGGACATTGAGAAGAGCCTAAGAGACAACCTGAGCCACAAATCACTCATTGAATATCCAGTGCTACATGTTGTTCTCAGAAATTATTGGATCCACTATCAACTGAAAGGACCAGGTGAGAGAATCATCACATTTTATTACTAGCTGTTGTGAGTTACATGTTGTTGTTTTATTTCTGCTACTAAGCAAATACCACACAGTCCCAAGACACCATTCTCTCTAGTCTCTGCCAATTCCATCAGCATTATATCATGTCCTGTTTTCTCCATCTGAGCCTTTAAGACTGTTCCCTTATTTTTCACTATGGCAACATGTTAGCCTAACGGAAATGAGTGTGTTCTGCTTAGCATTATACACACCAGCTTAACCTCAACATAAACTGTGGCCAAAAATAGGATCAAAAATGGCTTGATGTCATTTTCATGAGTTCTTAACAGAAAGAAAATTAGAATGCAGGATATCTGTGTGTATTTTCCCTCACCCACTTGTCTTTCGTCCAGCTCTGGGTGATTCTTGTCACGAGGTGTCAATCTTGTGAAAACAAAAGTACAAATTATGAAGAGGCTTGTTCATTGATTTCTTCCTTTTTCAATATGCAAATAATTTTTAAAGTGTGCTTATGGCAGCTAGGTTACAAAGTATCAGAATACACACAAGCCCAGTATCATCATACTGTCAGAACAGACTGGATGAATGACGAATGAGGTCAATTTAGTCTGAGTTTGTGTTTCAGTGATAAGGCCCTGGAACCATCTTGTTTTCCAATGTTAGCCACTGAAACATCCTGATAATTGCACATGCTATGGCCTGGAAAGCTGGGCAGGAAATGATAACAAGCAATTGGACACTGTGGCATATCTACTAAGGATAAAGTCATGGTGAGTGTCTGCAGCATTCTGTTAACCAGAGTTCAGCTGAAAAATATACTTAACCAGTTAAAGCTAAGGCTTAGTTTAAAATGTTGGTTCCAGTCATTTAGAGCAGTTTCATTATTTGACTTCCAAAGTCTCCAGTCTTTTGGTTTTTACCTGCTCTACAGAAACAAAGTGCTAAATGTTAATCCAACATTTTTCAGTCAGGTCATCTCGACAAAAGTTGTTGTAAAGTTGTTTCTGCAAGTTAAATCTATGAGGCATTTTTAACTTTTAAATACTTTTTCTAGTGACAGGTCTCATTCCTAGTTTCTCAAGAAATTGTCCAGATGACCTGACTGAAAAATGTTGGATTGTATACCTGGATTATTGAGCATGGACTTTGTTTCTAAATATTAAGTTTGACTTTTCCAAGAAATGACAATAAGTGAACCAGAGGTTCTAGCTGTTAATTTGCCAGGGTTAGTGAGCAGAAAGCCAGTTTGCCCAGAGTAAAAAGTAAATTGACCTGGCAAGGATTCCTTACACAAATGCCACTACTATCACAAAAGCACCAAAGGTGTGGCCTATAATTCAACAGTGTTGATGTAGAGCATAATGCATATATTGTGTTGGACATCTCCCAGTCAGACAATCTGTCATCACTACATTATTCCCTTGAGCTGTGATGCCGGCTCAACCTAACACTACTGTCCATTTCAGCTTTGTGACTACCTCCCTTATTGGCTCAGTGGCATAACAGTGACAGGCTGACTTCAACCCCACAATGCTTTCTTGGTATTTATTGAAATCACACTAAGATGGGAAAAAAGCATCTCAGGCCTTGTTTCTTCTTTTTTTTTCCTTCATCCAGACATTCTAATAAAAAATCTGAAATACCTTAAACACACCACTAGGTGGCAAAAATGTCCAAAAAACAAACAAACAGACAAACAAAAACTTATCCAAAAATATGCTAAAATACAGTAGTTGTAGTGCTGGTGGGGGGGGGGGGGGGGGTTAGATCATGACAGTGAGCGTGCATGGAAAAGGCAGCTACATCATAATTTCTGAAAAGTTCTGTATCTTGTGTTTAAAAAAAAAAAAACATAAACGAGTTTCTAAAAATGTCCACTTTGGAAAAGTTTTTTTTTGTTATTTTCTCACAAAAAACTAATTTGGGTGTTAACTGGAGATCCAAGTGCAGCAGAAAACAGTGTGGACATCATGACCTTAAAAAAAGCTGCTGTTTTCACTATAAATTCAATAAATATGTATAATATGTATATATTTTTATATCTGCTGTAGTCATAATTTTTGATTCATTAGTGACATGTAATAATATTTGTAAAGTTGTTTCTGCAAGTTAAATCCATGAGGCAATTTTAAGTTTTAAATACTTTTTCTATTGACACGTCTCATTCCTAGTTAAAGTACGTAGTTTAGGTAAAGAGCTCAATTTACTGCCTTTTTTTTTTTTTTTTTTTACAGCAAATATGGTAATATTAAGTAATAGATGTCAGCCCAACATTTTTCAGTCAGGTCTTCTGGACAGTTTCTTTTTTTTTTTGTGCTGAAATGTTTCGCCTTCGGTCCGGAAGGCTTCATCAGTCGAGGAAACACACAACAAAACTGATTCTTCCCCCAACAGCTTACTCCAAAGTGGAACAAACCAGTTTTGCTTGTGATAAGATGGTCTCTTTGTCACGCCCCCTCCTCCATTGCCGGCCCTCTTCCTTGTTGACAGTCTTGTCAAACTGGTTGAAAACAACAAAGTCCATGCTCAATAATCCAGGTATACAATCCAACATTTTTCAGTCAGTTTTGTTGTGTGTTTCCTCGCTGATGAAGCCTTCCGGATTGAAGGCGAAACGTTTCAGCACACAAAAAAAAAAGAAACTGTCCTGATGACCTGACTGAAAAATGTTGGATTGTATAATAATAATAATAATGTCATCACAATGTCAGCACTGTATGTTTCCATACAATGGCGAAATTAGTCTCTGCATTTAACCCATCCACCACCAGGTGGTGCAGTGGGCAGCTATTGAAAGCTGCCCGGGGGACATTTTGGGGATGAGACGTGCTGCCCAGAGACGCCACGTGATGTGCAGTGACTGGGGATCGAACCTGGGACTTTCGGGTCCCAAGCTGGCTGCCCTGCCTCTACACCATCTCGGCCCCCATACCTGGATTATTGAGCATGGACTTTGTTAATAGATGTCAGCATTGAAAAAACTGTTTTGCAGTCAGTTATACTTCAACAGCATACTGAGCTAAAATAATTCCTAAAAATTCAAACCAAAATTATTATGTTAATCTTTTATAACCCAATAGAACTGTGTAGTGACACTTTTTTCCAAAGGATTTTTTTTTTCTTTGCCTGCACTTTAGTTTTGTTTGTTTGTTCTTGTTTTGTTCAGGATGTTTTTGGACCACAGCCTTTAGCCAGAAGCTGTGTGCACATTAGCTGCTGACAACAAGCAGCTGCGAGAACAGTAAAAGCACAGGAGTTTGCTTAATACTCCCATTTCCTCAATCATGTCTGGTTTCTTTAACACACACCTAGTCAGGCTTCCTCAGCTGAACCAGAACTTTCACTTTAAATCAGTTCAATTCAATTTAGTTATATTGTACCAAGTCACAACAGAAGTTGTCTCAGCGCACTGCACAAAAACATTCACATACATAAAATGCCAATTAGTAAAAGTTCTCTATCTAAGGAAGCAGCAGATTGTGTTGAATGTTCACTTTGTCACGGTCTCCCATTCTGTTTTGAGCGAGCACAAGGCAACAGTGGAAAGGAAAAACAAAGAAACCTCCAGCAGAACCAGACTCAGGATGAGCGGCCATCTGCTTTGACCAGCTGGGGTTTGAGGGGGCAGGAAGGAGAAACAAACACAGAATGGCAGGTCCAGGTGCACCTTCTATAGGAGGAAAGACAAAAACCACATGTTAAGATAGACATAATTACATATACAAACAGGTAGAGTAGAGCAAGTAAAGACAGCAGCAGAATTAAAAAAATGTGATCAATTTGTCCTCTAGCAGTCTAAGCCTATAGCTGCATAACTAAGGGATATCTCAGGAAACCCAAGGAAAGACTTACACCTAATCTTAAAAGTAGACAACGCGTCAGCTTCACGGACAGAAAGTGGAAGTTGGTTCCACAAGAGAGGAGCCTGATAGCTGAAAGTGCTGTCTCCCTTTCTGCCTTTGAAAACTCTAGGAACCACAAGTAAACCTACAGTCTGAGAGCCAAGTGCTCTGTTAGGAAATCAGCCAATGCTTCATATGTGGACCTGTTTAACCAAGCTTTACAGTGCAATAGCGATTAAAAAAATTAATAAATAACACATTTTTATATTACAGGGTTAGAATAGGGTGGCAAGATTGAAAGATATTTTAAATGGACTAAAAGTACTCTGTATAATAAAAACACATGTACAATCGTTGCATTCAATTTGATTGAGTTAAGTTGTAAAATTTGAGTTTAGAGAGGTTGATCATCTGTCTCTGACCATGATAGTTGTTGCATTTTAAAACTTTATAGTAGACATTCACTACTTTGCGGTTTGTTTATTGCGGACTCACTCTATCACGGTTTTTCAAAATAAGATTGGACATGACACACAATTAGCTGATTGATGGATGAGTCGCACAATTGGCATAGAATTTTTATTTAAAATTAATTATTTAAAATTATTTAGCACCTGCTGCACCTTTGTGCAGCCCATACTGCAGGCCAAACTTCCTGCTGCAGCTGATCAGCTGTTCACCGTGCAGCAGAGAAGTGGGCGTGGCCAAGAGCACTTGCAGGTGGAAAAGAGCAGTGGAGTCAGAGAGCTGAAATCATGACATTCTGTGGTCCTTTGGAGTGTTTAGAGTTAAGAAACATTGTTTAGAATATTGCAAGAGTGTGTAAAGGGTTTAAAATGTATATATGTATATATATATATATATATAAACTACTGTTTCAACAGGAGCTGGATGCGGTTCACTGCAGCTAGCCGTCTCCAGCTCACGCTGCTCCCCCTGACTCGGACCTCCCTCAGAAGCAGCAACTCACACTATTAATAAATCAAGGAAACATGAATTCAGTGTTACCAATTGTATAAAAATCAAGGCAGGAAACGTTTACAGTTTACAGTTTACAGCACTGGCCTCTCCGGTACAATTCGACGCAAGATCAGTAACCAGAAGGGGCATTACAGATTTATATGGCCTAGACTCCTCCTTCGCAGAAGGGGATCACAACCTGTCACGTGTATGAGGGGCAGTGACTAAGTGTGATCTCAAGGGATCTTAACTGGTTTAACGTGAAGGAAAAAATGAGACAGTGCTTCAAAAGCCTTTCTACGTGATGTAGCCAGCAAAATAAACTATTCCTTGACGGATATTGAATCCCTGGGAGACTCTTTTTAGAGTTACTGGCCCCATTTAACCCAGTCAGAACTGGGCCATAATTTCATTATAATCCCGTCTCTGAACAGATCAGAAACCCCAGGGTCAGTCTAGATAATTTTCTAACACTACTACTTACTACTTGTACTACTATTCCTACTTTGTGGTTTTTCACTTATGACAGGTCTTCAGGATATGGATCCCCCGCGATATATGAGGGTCTACTCTACATTGTAAACTTTTTTGTCTGCTGTGAAAAGGTTCAACAATGCAACAGTCTTGTTGAAGCAGGGGGTCATTTCCTCATAGTGTTACACTCTTATACTTTCTGTTCTTTTCAGCCTCCCACACGTTCTTCTATTCTAGCGACTTCTTATTCGATTCTCTCTTCTAGCATGAAACTGAACTATAGCATTATTCTTTCTTAAATACCTGCTCTGCCTCTGCGTTTCTTTCCCAATAGTTCCATTGATTTCATTTTATTTTTCAACTTTTTTGTTAAGATCATTTTTAAATACAAGTTTGGACTAGAAGGAGTTTTACTGTCTGCAGTAGTAAACATGAAAAATGATGTTATTCAGAAATGGGGTCATATCGTTTCAGCTCAACCTGTCGCAGCACGCACCAGCTCTGCAACAAAGAATGTTTGGACGGACCAAGAGAAGGTGGAGACCAAAGTTTCACCACAAAGACAAGGGTCGTCTACACCAGCTAGGGCAGATATTTGCACAAGAGCCCAAGAGTTCACTCCCAAAACTGAGCCACCATCTGAGAAAAGGGCAAAGAGAGGAGCATGGGAGGAGGAACGAGAGGAAGGAGAGCTTGTCGACAGCAGCGGTGAAGAGGACGAACATCTAGATGAAACTGTTCCGTGCTCTGAGAACTATGATGATGCAGAAAGTTCTTTTAACGATGGGAAAAATGTTGATGTTAGTGGATGCAGACACAGCAGCAGGGATGGTTCTTTAGGTGAGGTCTTTGCTGGGGCTGCTGAGCCCTCAACTTGTAGCGATGCTACTGAGGTCACCATGACTAAGGAGGATTCTGTGAAAGAGCCAGAAACTGTCCGTAGCGTTCCCTGTCAACATGGAAATGAGTCAGCTGATGCTGCAGACAGCTGCCAAATGGAATGATAATACAGAAACTGATGTGAAAGTGTTTGACAGGAAGTAACAAATGTGTCATGACACAACAGAACCAACTCAAATCAGCTTTGTCCATCACATACATTACATCTAGAATAATTCAAGTGTTTTTTTGTTTTTTTTTCAATGTTCATGTTTTCTCAAATAAAATCTGATTTTTGGTTTGTTTTTATACGAAACTGCATCGTAGTTTCTGTGACACACAAGCTGCATTACCTTTTCCTCTATTTTAAAATTACTTTTTTAAGGTTACATTTGTTTTCTGAATTGGTCATTTTCTCAGATTCCAGAGCAACTAATGAAGTAATCCCGATCTGTTTTAAGCATTTGTGGAGTCCAGAAATGTGCACTTTGAAATCAAATGTCTCGAGCACCTAAAAACTTCATTTGGACATGAATGATTATGTGGCATTTTGGTTATGAAAATCAGTTGATGGGATCAGAAGCAACAAATCAGAAACTTTGGAAATAGTACATAAATGTCTCTTTAATTATCATGAAGTGTCTATCTTGTTTTTTGTAAGTGGAAACTAATAGAAAACAGGCCAAACCTAACCCCATCTTTAGCTTTGAAGTTAAGTGGTTCCCTAAGTTCATTAGTCTCATTTTTCCATCAGCTAGTAAAAGTTAATGTTGACATGCTCGTTTTTCTGACACCTCTGGGCGTCTCCCAGTGTGAGCGTAATTGACATGTGGGGCCTCTATATACTATTACCTAACGTTAGCTTATTACTACAACAAGGTGCTGGTAACAACTGCCACTGTAGCTCATTGCTGGTTTTGTGCTCATGGTTGTGCTTTTTAAAACCCCTGCTGACTTTTTTTAAAACGTTCTCGGTGAATTCTTTTAATGTGTGGCCTGTGATGACGCATTTTCCACCCATTTACAAACGGTGTGATGATCTCACATCCGTCATTCATCCTCGTTTATAACCTTCTTAAACTGAAGCTTTGCTCAAAGCACCTGACTCAAATTTCACGCTCAAATTAACTGCTAATCCTAGAGGTTCACATACTTTTGCCACTTGAGTTTGTAATATTGGATCATTTCCCTCAACAAATAAATGACCAATTATAATAGTTTTGTCAGTTTTGTTTAACTGGGTTCGCTTTGTCTACTTTTAGGACTTGTGTGAAAATCTGGTGCTGTTTAGGTCATATTGATGCAGAAATCTTGACAATTCCAAAGGGTTCACAAACTTTCAAGCACCACTATATTTTGATCTGCATGCTTTTTAAAAAAAAAAAAGAACAGGACTTCAATTCAGTTTATTTATATAGCGCCTATTCACATCAAAGTTGTCTCTACAGAAACATTCACATACATAAAAAAGCCAATTAGTAAAGTTTTCTAAGGAATCCAGCAGACTCATTGGATCTTCACTTCGTTGCAGTATTCCATCCTGAACAAGCACAAAGGCAACAGTGGGAAGGAAAAACTCCCTTTTTAAAGGAAGATACCTCCAGCAGAACCAGGACAAGTGGCCATCTGCTTTGACCAGCTGGGTGTGAGAGAACAGGACGGAGAGAAACGAACATGCAGTGGCAGGTCCAGATGTAGGTGCAGGTGTACCTGAAAGACAAAAACACAAGAAAAACTATCCAAAATTGATAAGCAATAATGTTCATAAAAAAATACAAGGCAAGCACATTTTTTGTTTGTTTTGTGCAAGGATTTGGAAACAATGTAGAGGATGACAAAATCCATCTACAAGCAACCATCTCCAAGTCCAAATTACTCATTTTGTAACTTTTGTTATTCTGCCTTGTTTCGTGTTTACAAGTGTTGGATGATTATTATTATTTTTTTATCTGCGTTTTATACAAGATTGGAAACCCAGAGTATTTTTAATCTGCTGTGTTTGTAGTGAAGCATATTGTAACCTTTGTTAAAAAGTGACATAACACGACAAAGTGTGATGTTTAATGCTTGAACATCTGTTTCTTTGTTTTTTTTAATGACAGTGTTCAATTACCACACACACTTTATTTTATCAGCTCTCTTAACTTTGTCTCATTAAAGTGACACAATAACACCATCAAAAAGCTTTGCTTTTGTTTTTCCGCAGTTAAAAGTAATTCGGAGTTGTTTTTACCCTTAAGACAGTTCAGGCATTGGAAATAATGCCTCAGTTTGACTAAAATGTGCTTTGAACTTTCTGAGTTTGGTTTGCCCTTTTTTTTTGTCTTAATGTGATGTTAAAGGCCAGTTTTATTGCACGCAGAGAGTTCGTTCTTGGAAAAACTGAAGGACATAACTGTTGGGGTTACCTTCTCAGTAAGCTGGATAGGCATGCAGGTCCTGAAAGACAAAGTTAGTTTTTAAAGCGATTTTGTCAGCCGCTAACTGGGGGATTGTCATCATCCAAATCCAAAAACGGATTTATATTATTATTTCACATTAAGCACGTGTTTTTACTTTAAATTATAACATGCAGACATGAATACATTGTTTGGTGCTCTTACAGTTCATTGAAACTGCTTCATTTGAGCGGCTGTGGCTGAGTGGTTAGGCAGTCATCCTCCAATACGAGAGTTGGGGGTTCAATTCCACCAGCAGCTTGCCCAGGGACATGCCGAAATGTCCCTGGGCAAGACACTGAACCCCCAAATGCCTCCAAAGTGTATCCCATCAGTGTATGTATGTGATAAAGCACAGATTATTCTTCATACAGATCTAGTAAAGTGCTGTATGATTGGGTAAATGAGGACACAGCTTTTAGTGTAAAGCGCTTTGAGTATCTTGATCAGATAGAAAAGCGCTATATAAGTGCAGTCCATTTACCATTCATTTTTGTCCTGGAAAAATTAGGAGAAGCTTGAATAAGACAGGTTAATTCCCAAACGTTTCCAAGTGAGCTGCTCACATGTTTTAACACCAAGGCCAAACTACTGTAAGCATAGCATTGACTGACAATAATGCTTCCAATTTACTAATACTGTACTTACACATATCTACACTTCAAGGCTGATTTGTAGTTATTAACTCACTTGTTGAAATGCTCACATCAAGGAGAAAATCAGCATGAACCTCTTGCTCTGCAGTTAGAAAGACCAGGATGGAGTCATTCAATGGAGGTGAACAAGATGCTAATGGCAAGCGCTCCCACTGTGGAACTGCACCTGTTAGACAAAACTTTCATGAAATAAAGCACTGATATTTCAAATACTCCACCACACTTAGAATAGTTATATACCATGCCAAATATAGCAACAACAACAACAAAAAAGCACACTTTGCATAATACCAAAACACAGTTGCCCCATGACACAGCTAAATCACAAGATGCAAGAAAGAAAAAATATAAAAAGGGATTATTGTGTCTTTATTTAATAATGAAGATCCTGCAAGTCCCCATTCCTTCACAATAGTGGAAACCACACCATGCAAGTTAGAGACACACATTGTGGAAAATCTATGACACAAATCTGGTTATTCCCACAACAAAACAACTTTTTAAATTATTGTCAAGAAAATTACATTTCATTATTCCATCCATCATCTTCCACTTGTTCCAAAGTCGGGTCGCGGGGTTAGCAGCTTGAGCAGGGGGGCCCAGACATCTCTTTCCACAACCACCTCTTCTAGCTCTTCTGGGGGAAGGAGTTCCCAGGCCAACCGAGAGATAGTCTCTCCAGCGTATCCTGGGTCTTCCCCAGGGTCTCCTCCCAGTTGGACATGCCCGATGCACCTCCCTAGGGAGGTGTTATGGGGCATCCTTACCAGATGCCTGAACCACCTCAACTGGCTCCTCTTGATGTGGAGGAGCTGCGGTTCTACTCTGACTGAGTCTCTCCTGATAACTGAACTTCTTACCATATCTCCAAGAGAGAGTCCAGCTACCCTGCGTAGGAAACTCATTTCAACCGCCTGTATCCGCGATCTCATTCTTTTGATCACTACCCAGAACTCGTGATCATAGGTGAGGGTAGGAACGTAAACATAGAGGCTTGTCTTACAGCTCAGCTCTCTCTTCACCACAATGAACCGGTACAGAGTCTTCAATACTGCAGATGCTGCACCAATCCGTCTGTCAATCTCACGCTCCATTCTTCCCTCACCCGTGAACAAAATCCCGAGATACTTGAACTCCTCCACTTGAGGCAGAACCTCACCCTCGACCTGAAGAGAACAATCCACCCTTTTCCGGTTCAGGACCATGGCCTCAGATTTGGAGATGCGGCCACTTCACACTCAGCTGTGAAATGCTCTAGTTAGAGCTGAAGATCATGGCACAATGACGCCAACATGACCACATCATCTACAAAGAGCAGAGATGGAATTCTGAGGCCAACAAATGGGAATCCCTCCGCCCCCTGGCTGCACCGAGAAATTCTGTCCATAGAAGTTATGAATAGAATTGGTGACAACGAGCAGCCCTGGCGGAGTCCAACTTGCACCCAGAAGGGGTCCAACTTATTACCGGCAATGCGAACCAAACTTGCACCGCTTGTATAAGGACTGAACATCCCATAGCAATGGGCCCCCAATCCCATAATCACAGAGCACCCCCCACAATGCACCCTGAGGAACATGGTCAAATGCCTTTGTTTTATTATTATTTGTGAAAAAATGATCAAATTTCCAGGAAAGTGTCCTGCGTATAATGTGCATTAAACAGTATTATCTTTATAATTTGAAAGGCCATTAGTAACAAAAATCCTAAAGAACTGATTTTATACTTTTTTTATTTTTTTTTATTAAGTTGCCTTTTAGGAGGAGCAATTGGTAGAGCTGCTGCCTCTTAGTGAGAATGTCACCGGCTCAAATCCCGACTCAGGGCCTTTCTGGGTGGAGTTTGCATGTTCTCTCCGTGCAAGTGTGAGTTTTCTCCGGGTACTCTGGTTTCCTCCCTCAAATCAAAAACATGCATGTTAGGCTGATTGGTAACTCTAAATTGTCCCTAGATGTGAGTGAGAGTGAATGGTGGTTTGTCTTGTCTCTCGGTGTCCCTGTGATGGACGACAGACCTGTCCAAGGTGTACCTCACCTCTCACACAGTGACTGCTGGATATGGGCACTGGTGATCCCCGTGACCCAAAATATAATAAACGGGTAAAGATGATGGATAGATGGAAGTTGCCTGTATGTGCTGACACAACACTGGTTCAGCTCTTGAGTTTAGAAGCCTTTTTATGCCTGAAAGTTTCATAACTCCGAGTTAAGAAGCTTACAACCAAAAACCTTCAAAAAAACAGAAAAGTAGTCGCTAACATGCCAACAATTAGCTCAGATGATGTTTGCCCCCTGGAGACTATCCATTCTGCTGGGTGGTGACTGAAGACGCCCAAAGACTGCAGTCTCACCCACCAGCGTTTGGCATGTTTGAGCAAACAAATCACTGCAGTAGCCAGCAGCAGCCATCTAGGGACAAACAGAACAGTCCTACAACCTGCCAGGGAGTAAACTAATTTGCCCTGTCTGCTCATCAGTATTTTTTTGTTTTTGTTTGTTTGTTTTACGTAATTCCAACTGGGGATGTGATGGATGAGTCAGAGGACTTGCATCAGTGTCACTGATGTGTATGCCTTCAATAACCCACGCCCTGAAATAACTTTTTTACATCATTGTTTTTGTTTAAAGTTGAAAATTAAGGGTTTTAAGAACATCTTATAGTTGTTTCATCAGTTTTAGTCTTTAGTGGGAGTTTTTAAATGCAGTTTTGAGTTTGCTTACAAATTGCTGTTTCTTCTATTCTCCAGCAGATGGCACTTTATAAAACAAGCTGCTGCCTCTGCTTTTGGGTTTTGTGACCAGTCTGTAACCCTCCCCTTCCCCCTGCACATTCAACAGTAAACATTAACCTGGGGTTTACACACAAGGGGGCTGTAAAATGGTTGACATCAGCCTTTAGCAGCATCCAGCGTCTTGTAATGACCACACTTACTCCTGGTAGCTCCTGGTCGGGTGACATTACGTAGTTCTTGATGAAGCTCAAATGCAAAAGCCTTTTTCATACAAACACATTTCAGGTTCAGCAAATGAGGTAGTGGTGGAGTGATTTAATTGCGGGGGGGTTGAGAGTCTGGCTTGCCTGACTGATAGTTTTAACAGATTTTACCTCTACTTGCTGGCACATCACACTTTTATTCTTACAATAAACCTGATTTTTGGTCTCCTTGAACAGGCTGGAGATTTCTGAACTTGCCTGGACATCATAAAGGAATGCAACAGATGATGGCCAGCATTTCTCACATAACATACAGGTTTTAACCAAACTGCATTATCTTATCAAGATAAATAACTGACAGCATGGCAGTTACCAAACTGAGAAACAATGTGGAAGAGTTTCCCTGTACGAGGCCAAAAAGAGCAAAACCAGAACTCCCTGAAAGTGTTTTGACTGTAAACTTTGTCTACAGTAGAGCAGCCACACATCTTTGTGATTAGGTAAATCTCAGAAGCCTTTCATGTGAGCTTCCTGTGAGGCAGCTCAGTCAAAGCCTATGTGTCCTGCTTAGCCTGTTATTAACCATACTTGATCAAGACTTATTGCCAGGAGCCATTCAGGAAAGATAAAGATGCCATGTAGTGTTAGCCTGGCAATGGTCTTAGTAGTTAAAAGAAGACAATTTGCTTTTTGTGTGTGTGTGGATACAAGTGAGCACATGGGAGTGCTTGTATAAATTTGGAAAGGCTTCTCTGCTAAAGTGAACATGTTGCTCAGAATTTTTTTTCCAACATCTGCCGCCCATCAGGATGTCTGCTTTCTGAGCCACTGCTGCATTCCTGAGCCACTCCCTCTACCTGGATCTGAGAAGAAACTCTTCCCTGTCGTTGCCCCTGAGCTGTGCTCTCAGTGCCCTAGCTCAAAGAGTGCTGGCGGTGTTTGTTCCATGCAGCTGCAGATATCAAACTCTGTAAGAAGAAAACCCTACACTGCATGATAGTTGTTTTATTTAATCATTAATTTGATATTGCACATATTTTATGACTATTGTGACCATAAAATGATAGAGCTAAAGCATCTGTGATAAGGACATATCTCCATTTCCCCATTTCGGTCTTCACCTTTTCTTCATGCATGTTAAACTGAAACCTGAAAGGGAGACATGAGCCCTTCCTGCTTTTAAAGGTTGTTTACAACAGTTTAGCAGACTTTTGTGGTTGAAGACCCAGCAGAGATGAATTAAATTCACATTTAAATATAGCTGCTAATGAATAAGATTGACGTGGTAGCTCCATTCTGTGTGGAAAAAAAGCAGAATTACATTCTTTGTATACAATTATAATCATTGTCTTTTTGCACGATGTCTAATCCCAGCCCATTCAGAGTAGCACTTAAGATTCTTGGCATTCTCCCACACTCATTGCTACTCATGGACTTAATCTCCCCCCCCCCTTCTCCGAATCAGTCAAGTGAATGGCTTAGGCAGATCAAATGGAAGCAGAATGGCATTCCAAAGCACAGAAAGTCAGGACATGGAGAATCCAATTTTGTCTTATATAAAAACACTGCAGCACTGCTTGGTGTCTGAGAATCTGTTGGTTTTACAGCTTGACAACAGGAGTTCCTTGTCCATCACAGACTTTAGATCCCCCCACTCCCCTCTACTTTTTGTCTGCTTTGTTACTCGGTATAGAATGAATAGACCAAACAAAAGCAATGCCATTTTTCATAAATAAGTTTTATTGCTGCATATAAAATTAAACCATTTTACAATTTATTCCAGTATTACACATAATATCCAAATAAAGTAACTACATATTTTAGATAAATAATATTAATAACAATATTTAAAAAAACAACATTCATTCATCCTTTAACATGTTTTGTTTAGTCTTTTTTTTTTTTTATGAAGGGATGTCAATAGCTGCCACAAAACATGAACAATAATGCCCATGTCAGGAAGGAATGAAACCACGCACTTGTTAAACAAGTTGAGGGGTTACATTTTGTTGTCTTGTTCTTAAGATATGATATGCTAACTGAAATTGTGTAGGTGCACACATGTCTACAGTCTGGGTCATGTCAAAATAAAGGATCAAAATATACATAGTGAATTGGTATCGGCAACTAGCGTTAATGTACAAATATTAATTACATCTGGCTCCATGACGAAGCTACTTTAAATGCTCCATTAATATGAAGCGGTTTAGATAAAGAATGCTGATGTAGTCACAGCAAACAGTGCACTTCATTGAGTCCTCATGATGTAAGCCCACAATTCCTTGGGAATCTAGTTACAACAAGAAGATGGTAGTTTATGTACACCCCTGCATTCATTTAGACTGCCATTGGCTGCCAGTGATGCTACTGATCTTTGTCTCTCTGAGGGGTTCAGGTGCTCATCACCCATCAGTCTCTGAACTTGTGGATGTCATTGGAGAGGCGGTAGGTGGGGTATGAGGCTTCGTTGGCATGTGGACAGTTGTAGGTGCACTTGCAGGACTCGATCATCATGATGTTCTTGTGAAAGGTCTCGCCATCATCACAACGGAACTTTACGCGGATGGTTTTGGTGTCATGGGGGCTGCAGCAGCGGCCATCTACGCAAGATCCACAGTACCTGGGTCGGTACTTCTTCAGGCTGGAGCAGCCGGCATAGGTGAACTTCAGTGGCTGGCTGGACTTCTTGGTTCTGCTGCACTTCTTTCCTTTCTGTGAATAGATAAGGTGGTGATTAGTTATGCAGAAACCTGGCAGTGTTGTGCTTCCAGAATCATGCACACTTCCATTGCATTCAGTCATAGTTGGCTCAAGCTTACCTTGAGGCTGTAGTAAGGTGATTGGGTGCAAGGCCTCACTTCGCAGATTCGGGTCTCTCTAACCAGCTTGCACTCGCTGTTATTGTTGGTAATTCTGGTGGATATGCCAGTTCCACAGCTCTTGGAGCAGGGGGACCAAGGTGTGGTTTGTATGATGCACTTCTGGCTGTCAAACATGTGGAATTCAGGTTGTGGTCTGAATGCTGTGAATAAAATGAATAAAATAATTAACAAACAGAATAGTTTGCCAGTTTTGACTGCACAGGCATTTATACAAAAGTATGTTTTCAGAATAAAACTGTTCTTACCAGGTAGGGATTTGAGTCCTCCCTTGAAAATTGCAATGAGCTCATTCTTCTTGGTGAGGTCTTTTTCCTGCTCATCACCCACTTTGTCTTTGCCAAAGATCTTCTCTAAGATGTCTGTCTCCTTGCCATCATCACACACCCACTCCTCACAGCACTGGCCAGCTACTTTGACCAGTCTGGGGTTGGCACAGCCCAGGTTGGGCAGGGAGAGCTCCTGCGGGCACAGCGGGACACAGCCCACTGCTCCATCGATGCATGTGCACTGGTGTTTACAGTTGGGCTGGAAGCTTTCTCCATTCTGATAAATCCTGCTGTTGTACTCACAGGGTCTGCCTTCTAACTTGGCTGCATCGGGGAGAGGGGAAAAACAGAAAGAAAAAAATGTTATTCTTTCATGCTCTGCTGAAAGATGTCTGCTAATGACATCACATGGCTGCCAGATAAAGGATCAGTTAAACTGTGAAATTCTTCAGGCTGCCTGAGGAGTCTCTTTCCCATCAGTGGGCTTTGAGGTTTTGACTAGTTTCTCCCTAGCTGCATTCCTTAGAGTTGAAATCACTCAGATTCTACAGCTGAATAAACCGCCTTTAGTCAGATAAAAGACTCCACGCTAATTCAAAAGCATGCACATCTGGAGATGAAAGGTCTGTATACATACCACGGCAGATTCCTCGGGTTGTAGCAGCCAAGCTGGCCCCAAAGTTGCACTCCAGCCCTTTGGTGTGGTCGCAGGGCTCGGTCAGGCTGCAGTCCTCGTTCAGCTGTCTTGCGCAAACTTTACAGCAGCCACAGCCATCCAGGACCACACTCACACCAGGTGCGCACTTCGTCATCTCCAGGGGACACTGACACATGGAGGGGCAGGAGGAGGAGAGCACCTGAATAAAAGAAGAGGACAATTGTAGATTAAACTAAACCCAGAGAAAATGCTAAAACAGGAGAACAAATGGCTCCACTCTTTGGTTTATACATGGATTGTGAAAGTACTGGAAGAATAAAAACTCACCAGGTGGAGGCTTCCTAGGAAGACAATGACAAAAGTAGACATCAGCATCTTGGACAAGTTATGCGTAAAGAAGAATCCTTTTAAGAAAATGATGTCTTTGTGGGAGTCCTTTAGGTATTCCCTCTCTCAGTCGTTTGTCCCTCCGGTTTGCTGGTCGTCTCTAAGTTTAGAGGCTCCTTTAGAGTGGATGAGACTCTCAGTGAGGCGGTTGCAGTCTGCTGAAGTCTGGCCACCTCCACTTATATAGTGTAGTGGGAGGCTGACGTCGTCCCTGCTGAACTATGGCCAAACTATGACAGGAATGTTTCTCGGCGCATTTTCCATCCAAGACCCTAGCTCCACCCTGTCTATACCTTTCTCTCTCTCTTTTTTTTTCTTGCTCAAATAGTTTTTTTTTCCTCTCTCCCCTGGATCCCGTCTGAACACACTTTTCCATCTCACATTTTTCTCCTTTTGTTTATCTTCCCTTTCATTTTTCTTCATCGGCTTGCTTCTCACATCTATCAGCTCAGCTTTATTGTTGGACTTTTTGTGCTTTTGTTTAATTAACTTAAAAAAAAAAATAGTGTGATTATTTGCACCCACCTCAACATGTATAAAGCATACAGCTGGCTAAAAACATTTGCGGGTTTCAGTGTAAAATTATTCCAGTGCCAGTTTTCAGTGGTGCTTTTACTAATTTTACAATTTTAATTAGACTTTTTAAATATGTTGCCACGTCTAAAATGACAGCAACTATATATATTCTCTCTAGGCCTTAAAGGATCACAGAAATTCGTTTAACAGTCTATTTCTGTCGCTCCGGTGCCTTTATTCAGAGGTAAGCGTTTCCAGATGCGCACCAGAGCTCAGACGTAACAATATTGCCATATTTGGTATGGCAGTAGCCTACATTATTAACATATTTCCCCCCTCTTTGGCCAACATTCCTGACAGCTTAAAGGCTTGTTAAATATGTTTCCCAGGCAGGGAAATTCTTCCGACTTTTCACGCAAACTATCCAGATTTTCTTTTGGGGGGTGCGGGGGGTGTTGAATGGAGCCAGTCAACTTTCCACAAATGTTGTGTTAGATGGTGGGGGGGAGAGACAAAATCCTGCCTTGGTTTTTTTTTTTTTTTAACACAAGGGGCTGAATTGTCCCCGCCACCTGAAATGATTCCGATTGATGATTCTCACCAGAGAGAAACGGTGCGTAAAGACGCAACACGAGCGGTTATTGTGCATCAGATTCTGAGGATATCTGGCTCAAGGGCAGAGTGTTCATTTATTTAGGAGGATCGGACATTTTACCACTTCCCAGTAGCTTTTTATTTACACACAACATAGTTTAGAGAGCAGCACAGAACAGGACGGCTGGACAGCCTCTCTGGTGAGTTTGGATTTATTTTCCCTCCGGTTTATTCCGAGCTCTTGTCAAATTCAAAATCAACTATTATTCATATTTTTTTGTACAAATCTACCTGTTTCCTTTATTAAAAACTATTTAACCAAAGTAATCAATTCACCACTTTAAGTACAGTTGTCCAGTGAACCGCTTCTTCCTCCGTGAATTTTCTGCCCATATTTTCATACTTCCAGTTCAAGACACTAGATGGTGATGTGATCGGTTTAGGATGATGTGTTTTTATTTGGGGGCTGGCAGGAGATATTTATGTGCTTGTCGATGTGAGCTTGTTTGGAGTGGAGGTGTGCCTGCTGGGCAGGGGGCGGCGTGTGTGTGTGTGTGTGTGTGTCTTTCCAAGCACACGTGGACAGTAGTATGCGCATTATGTCTGCATTGGGATTTTTAAAAATCGAACTCATAATTTTAAAAGTCATATTTTACTGATAGTTTCCTCATTATGATCAATATGGTGTCTTGATTTCACTGTTCAGTCAAAGACATGATTCTCTTGGATCAGTCATGTTCAGTTTTGGTCACTGTCCTGATTGTTTTAGCTGTTTCCAGAAGGTGGTTAATGACTCATTCAGGGTTCAGAATCTTTTTAAAGCTGCTAATGATGCAATGCTTTTTTATTTATTTATTTTATTTTATCATTCATTCCTATCAGGTTTGTTGAACCTGTACGTGTCTAAAACAGGCTGGATAGATATAGTGACCCTCAAGAAGCTTTAACAAAACATTCACAACACGTGTGTTCTCCTAAATTTAGGAACTTCAAACAGAAAACTTTATAATTTTGTGTAACGTAAATGTCACAGCTTGTTTTACATAAAAAATTAAAACCTGTTTCTGAATATATCCATTTAAAGCACATGTGTCAAACTCAAGGCCCGGGGGCCAAATGTGGCCCTTGCTGACATCTTATCTGGCTCCAAGATGATATGTTAAACAAAAATACTTTTATCACTTGAATTTTTTCAGTAATCTTTGATTAAGATGTCGAAAGTGCAACAGAGAAGGTCAAATGAGACCAATCAAACTCTTGTTGAAGAACCTGCAACCAAGAAAGAAGTTGAGTATCTAACTTGAGTTAATGTAGATTCTGAAACCAGCCCATCCATCCATTTTCTTTACCCGCTTATTCCATTTTGGGTCATGGGGGTCGCTGGTGCCCATGTCCAGCAATCACTGTGCGAGGGGCGGGGTACACCCTGGACGGGTCGCAAGTCCATCACAGGGACACATAGAGACAAACGAGACAAACAACCATTCACTCTCTCATTCACACCTAGGGACAATTAAGAGTTACCAATCAGCCTAACATGCATGTTTTTGGTCTGTGGGAGGAAACCGGAGTACCCGGAGAAAACCCACGCATGCACGGAGAGAACATGCAAACTCCACCCAGAAAGGCCCCCGGACCGGGGTTTGAACCAAGGACCTGCTCGCTGAGAGGCAGCAGCTCTACCAATTGCGCCACCGTGCTGCTGAAACCAGCCCTTAGTTTGAAAAAGGTTTTAATTGTGGCCCCCTTTTGTAAGTGAATTTGACGGCCCTGATTTAAAGTGAGGACACCTGCAGTAAGTGAGTGACTGAACCAAGTTACTTTTTTTAAATCTTTGCATTGCCTGTAACCTAAACATGTGTTTTTGTCCATGTGTGTTTGAGGTGGCATGTGCACATCTGTTTGTGTTAAAGTGACTGTAAAGAGTGTTTTTAGTAAGTCAAAGGACATGCAATCATCATGGAGTCATAGTTTAAACATGCCAAAAGAAGGAAAATGTCTTTATTTCTTTAAAAATGTAAAAAATTGAAAACGTCTTTAAAACAATATTGGTTTGTTTATTTAGTGAAAATATGCATATACATATAGTGCATCTATGATAGATCCATCCATCCATCGACCCACCCATCCATCCATTATCTTTTACCCGCTTCCTGCTTTTTGTGTCGCAGGGGTCACTGGTGCCCATGTCCAGCCATCACTGTGAGAGAGGCGGGGGACACCCTGGACAAGTCTCCAGTCCATCACAGGGACACATAGAGACAAACGAAACAAACAACCATTCAGTCTCTCACTCACACCTCGGGACAATTTAGAGTTACCAATCAGCCTAACATGCATGTTTTTGGTCTGTGGGAGGAAACTGGAGTACCCGGAGGAAACTCACGCATGCACAGAGAGCATGCAAACTCCACCCAGAAAGGCCAGAGTCAGGACTTGATTCAGTGACCTTCTCACTGAGAGGCAACAACTCACCAACTGTGCCACCTTAACATAAGAAATTAAAAACACTTATATCCACTGTGGTCCAATAAACAAAGCTTTTTAAAAACCAAATTCTATGTCAGGCAATGAATACACCATCTACTTCTGTCATAATTGCACGTGGCCAAAAGGCAAGGATAGAGAGATAATGTTTTAGCATGTGTGTGTGTGTGTGTGTGTGTGTGTGTCTGTGCCGATCTATTTCCCAAAATATCATATGAACCAGTAACCAAACTTTAAGATTGCAATTTTTTTTAATGTACATCTACAATTGCTTAGGTTTTGGAGTCAATCCAATTCAAGATGGTTGTCACAACTAATCAACATTATCGGAACACAATCGGGCTGCTGTTGTTACACCGTATCATTTTACGTTATTGGTGTTTAGTGTATATCTTAGTGTAGAGCTTAGTTCCTTATATACTGTTCTTTTTACACTTTATAGTTTTGCTAATGTTGTGTGTAACTGGGACCATAAGTACATAATTTTGCTCCACACCATTTACCACATGTGAAGCGGATGACAATACAATTGACTTGAACTTGAACTGGGTCTTGGACTTAAACATTAGCAAACACAAAAATGATTATAATTCAGATAAGTTTACAGATATCGATTAAGAACTCAGCAGCTGCGTCATTCACAACACATATTTTGAGTGTGATGTCTCACATATATGTGTTTGAGCATAATGTTATTTTCAAGGTTTGGACAAAACTGTCATTTTTCTACATAAATAAATGTTTAATTTAAAACATTGGCCTGAAAGGTGTCAAGCAATATGCATTTCTTTAATGAATGCTTGGCCTTTTATTGCAAAATTTTTTAAAAATGATTACAACATTCTGCTCTGTAATGTAGGGTTTGGTACAACTTCGTCACCTAATGCACCATTTAAATAATTTCAATGTTGATCACACTTTAAGCGATTGAATATTTTATTTTGACTCAGCGTAATGGAAATCTATTGCCAAGTCCAAAAAAACATCAGCTCTCAGAATCAACGCTGAGGACGTCTGTGGCCATCAGCATCTCCAATCAGAGGAACAGAACACTAACATCCAATAATGGTCAATCTCAATGGAACCAATGGTCAAATGGTCAATGGAAGATTAACATGTTTAGACAACAGATTCCTCTGCAGTATTTTTAATATTAAATATAACCAGAATGTTTTGTGCATGAGCAAAACTTCATTTAGTTTCCTTTTGCTGATGATTTGTTTACCAGAGCCATGTGCTCAAATGAAACCAACAATAAGACACTCAGTCAGGTTTTGAAAAAATATTAATCATATAAAGACTTATTTCCAGACAGAAGCTTACCTGTACAGATGGATTTCACAGGATTTATTTTTGAAAACTTTCATTTGCTTTGTTAAATCTCTGAAAAGGTTAAAGGTGCAATCCAAGAAGATCCCTGCTGACATCTTGTTTAGAAAGAGGATTGGGTCTTAAATGTTAATGTTGGGACAATAAATCCAGACAAACAGACTGAGCTGACTTGTTGAAAAGTCCATTTATATGAGCACAGTGTGCCAAAAGTGTCACATCGTT